CCGGCACCGCGACGAGCTCCACCAACTCTGGGTGATCTCGGTCGCGGTCACAGTCCACACCATCTGGACCCGGCGCAATGCCGCCAAGTTTGACCGTCGTAGACTACCTCCGCCGCAGGTCTTGACCGAGACCACGTACGTCCTGTGGCTTGCCACGATCCGGCGCCAACTGCGGCTCCTCGAAGACGACTCGGCCGAGCACCGCCACCTCCTCGGGGCCACCCAGCTGCTGCTCAGGCAGCGCGGCTATCGTGCGCTGTCGGCCAAGCACCCGCTCGGCCTCCAGCTTCGACCGACACTTGCCTAGACAACCACGCGGAGCCACGACAGTCAACACGCCAGCACGTAGCCGGTCCTGGGACCGCCGCGCGGCACCACACCTCGCCTCACCACGACCATGGAAAATGGAAACTGCGTCGTTTCAATACTGGTCCGCTGCTCTTGACCTCTGCCCAAGCGTGCACTCGGCCCACTACCGTGTCGAATCGCAAGCATCGAAATTCGCTGTGATGCTTTTGATTGGGCGCGGGCAACTTCGACCTCGATCTTCCACGTCACGTCGCCCTCCGCCCTAGCTCGCTGTTTGGTCCGATGCTCGGCAGGTTACCGCACCATTTCGACCAATCAGAAGCATCAACATCAGATTTGATGCTTCTGATTGGGCATAAACAAATTCGACTCCGACTTCCAACCCGGTATCGAGATCCTCCGAATGGCCAGCCCCTCGATCTCCAATCCAGCACACGCTCGCGGATCAGACGACCCGCGTCCACCCCCCGCTCTGCTCAAGCCCACAAAGTTGTAGTCCACTCTAGCTCCAAGAGGCCAGGACTGGGATGAGATAGTAGTAACGTTAACCTCTACTAATCCTTAAAATGTACCCAAATGTAGAACATTGTAGCACTTTGATCGGGCCAATCCATATTGATATGGAATTTCTTGCTTGTTTAAAATGTTCCTCTTCCACAATGATTTGAAAAAAGCTCTAACTAGGGCGGGAAATGGTGTTGTACTTTATAGAGTACTAGCGATACTAATTAGTAGCGAGAAGTAGCGACTTGACTGATCGACGAAAGTGAAAGCCGCCAGTTTCCAAGAGATTGTAATATTGTTCGTCAAATCGCCAAAACTACTCTCAATTGGTTTCGTGGTTTCGGGCGATGCCCGACGCTCCCGTGGATGCAAGAATTTCGATTGTAGTTCACATATGGCTGCTCTCCGATTCGAAAACATCTGAACAACCCAGAATAGTATTTTCAAACGGAGTAAGTATAAGCTGACTGAGTAGAAACCCCGAAACCTTTGCCCAGCTTTCAATATCTTAGACTTAGTTTACTTTAATTCTATTCAAAGTCAAAATTGTACTCAAACATCAAGGAACTTATTGATACTCTGCCCACAAAATTGCGCGCACCGCAGCGCAGCGGAGGTCGTGTGTATAATTTTGTGCAGGCAGTACCTTGTCGAGGAGTGAGCCCCAATCGTGCACTTCACCGAATGTCCAATCGATTCCTCTCGTCGGGAAAAGCGGCAAGTAGGCTTCAGGCCGTGCCGCTCCCAGAGGAGGCCTGTGGAGGACCAAATTACCTTCTATAGTATTTGTAACTGTTACAGTTTCATATGATTAACCATTTTCTACCTGTGATCCCCTAATTCTTGTGTGCAGAGTTTCTGTACTCATGTAAAAGGATGCGATCACAACGGACTATGGGGACTATCAAATTAGACCAGAGTAGTACATATTTGGATAGAAAACGTTGAGCTTTTTGGACGAAGAAAAGGTATCGATTTAAGCAGTTTAGGATAGCACAATTAATTCCTGAAGTTGAGGGCTTTACACAGGCGACCACTGATGGGCTTACTTTATACTTGAGTTAACTATTGAAATCATAGGTTTCAGCCCGTTTTAACTACATACAATTGATATGTTACTAGTAAAACGGTACATACCATTTAAATGGTATAACGTATCGAAGTAATTTTGAACACAAATTTATGATTATAATCATTAATTCATACAGGTATACATTGTCTAGAAGTTTCATTTTGACCAATAGGTAGGAGGTTTTGCAAGTCATCCGTGGACTATGCCTAAGTACTTACACTACAAAAACGTACGTTTGACAATAGCAGAGTTCGAACCGCCACAATTAATAGAAACATTCCCATGATTTGATATTCCTACCCTGGAAATGGCTATTTGTAGGGGCACTTACTTGGAACTACACCTACAGCCAGTCAATCCAAAGTGGGACATGATCTCTGAAATGTCCACATCCGATACGGACAAGGTGTCGAGAGTCGAGGGCACAACTGATTATTCGGGAAGTCGACGCCAAGTTCTCGTTCACAGCCTGCTCATGCACGCTGACCCACACAGATGCAAGCGCAAGGTCCAGCCACGTTACCGGTAGTCTCGTCGGTGCATACAAAACGATGACCTGCAAGCTGAGGATTACAGGGGGCGACGGATTTTAAGGGACACTTGCTACTTCGAATTTGCCATTTCATCGGAAATGATTGGTTGAATAACTTCGAACTTCGATGGAAATCCCGATATTTAGCCAATCACATAATGCTTTTCACATATTCAACCTTATTGGCTATAATATTCTGTACTTCCATTAAACTTCGGTGTCCCTTAAAATCCGTCGCCCCCTGTAGCGCATTTTTTATGGACCTGCACATGATGAGCAAGTGATGGTTGGCTAAGCCCATTGATCTATACTAGTACACGATCGAATGGTGTACGTGTGAGAGAAGGTGGCATGGTTTAAAGAGTAGCACATTGATGCCATAGTTGGATATCTCCACAACGCGGAGTAGGGAAAGCGAGTGGACTGGCCGGGGAATCATATTGATGTCATAGCGACAGGTCAGCAACGCAGATATAGATAGGGGAAGAGGTGGACTGACCGGAGAAAGAACAGTCGATATGGGAGCAACGGTGATGGTGGAGAGCGCCATATTCTCCACCACCGTCCGTCCCCATCACAATGCGAAGTTCTCCACCGACGCTGCACTCTACGTAGAGTCCAGCAACCTTGCCACGCTACGACGCCACGCCCTCCATCACCTCTAACTATACAGCCCACTATCACCACCGCCGTTGGTGGGGATCCGTCCTCAATGGTGGCTGGCGCCAAGTCCACGGCATCATAATCCACTCGAAAAATCCGCATAATTCTCGTATCCGATTTAGTGTAGAGAAGAGATATGCAAAATCAAAAATTAGTTTTACTCCTATCCGTTCACGACAAACCGCTTTTGGCACAGCGTAGTCTAGGCGTAGTCAACACATAACTTCCAAAACCTCTTTAATGAAAATGGATTTATAGTTTAGTTGGATGAAAAAGTCGGCCCGCCAATGGTCATCCGGCCCATCAATGGTACTAACGTGGGGCACCAGTCATCAGCGCTGTTGTAGGCCAATAGAAATGCCCGAATACCTGTTATTGGTCAAAATAAAGTCCTTCAAGAAATAGTGCCCATGATAAATTATAGGTTGGATCGTTATATTTGTGTTGATCATACAGAAATCGGTATTATAAGAGCAACGTCCACCCGTGGGATTTATCGAATGAGATTTATTCGGATAATGCACGGATAACAGCGAGATTTAATGGAGTCCCAGGGATAAATCTCAATTTCCCCACCCATGAGATTTTTTCCGATTCACACACGCAGGCTGCCGCACTCTGACTACATGTAGCTGCTACGAGTGCGGCACCAAGTGAAACTCACATGAGGACTATCACATCACATTCAATCAAACGTTAAAGTAGAAATCTATCATGTCAAAGCGCATGCCGCAAACTATCTCACTCGTCACTAAAAAGAAGGCACACCCTTGAGCGTATCGATTATCACAGCATGCGTATTCGCATACCATGAGCCAACTGTAACGTGGACTCTGACAAAACAATCTACGTGGTGCTCACTAATTCGTTTACCCTGCTGATGCCGCCATCACCGCCCTCACAATCAGGGCGACTTGGTTGTTGCTGCGATCAGGGTTTCGGGGTAATAATCTATTTAAAATATATCTTTTATTCGAACGGAAAATAGATTATTTTCGGGCACCACCAAAATAGATAAGTTATCTTTTCCCATCACCAGAAAAATAAATAACTTATCTTCATATGCAAAATAAATAATCTATTCCAAATGACAGGATAATTCTCATTGGTGCTTGAAATTGGTTGGTCATAGTTAGGATTAGAGTGCTAACCACCAATTACTTTTGACACCCCGATTGAGCATTGACTCACTTGCCATGTCGACGAGACCTCCAACCAACGCGCTTCGTGGAAAGCGGCTCGCTGAGCTCTACTTCACGAGGACCACCCCTACCGGCAACGAATGGAAGTGTCAGTGTGGGCACGTGCACCTCAAAAAGACCACTGGTTACACAAACCTGTGTTCTCATGTAATGAGCTGCCATCCCGAGTACGTCCACTTGAATGAAACTGACGCTGTTCACCCTAGTATCATCGCCAACATGCTAATCCCATATGCTGTGAGAAAGGTATTCGGGTGGCTGCAGTGGATTATCTTCTCGTTGCTTCCATTTTCATTGTGTGAGAATGATATGGCTAGAAAGTACTCAATGTTGGATTCCATCTCAACGAATGCTTTCATGAAATATATGTCACTTCTCACTGACACCATGGAGAAAAAGATCGCTGACATGCTTCCAAACATGTTCGCTATAGTATTTGATGGTTGGTCTATTGGATCGAGTCATTTTGTTGCAGTATTTGCTACATTTCCTACGGATGATCTAATTGGCTATAAAAAAGTTCTATTGTCATTTTCCCCAATCAATGACGAGGATTCGTTGAACGCCGATGCTCATCACAAGTACTTAGTATTTGTATTGGATGGTATACGGAAAAACGATGTCGAATGTTATTGCTCTAATCGGTGATAACTGCTCAACTAATGGCGCAATTGCTAACCGATGTGGTGTACCTTTGGTTTGTTGTGCCAGTCACAGGTTTAACCTCTTCGTCACCGACATTTTGACTCAATACGATCCTTTGATTAACACTGTCAATGAGTTAATGAAAAAACTAAAAAACCTGAAACTAGCTGCAAAGCTACGTCGCTTGACACCATTAGGTGCAATCAACCGCAATGTCACGCGTTGGAGCTCCACGTACTCCATGCTCAAGCGCTACGTCGCCATCCGCACGTATATCAGGCTCCTTGGGCGATCGCAATGTTTTGCACCTCACCCCGACCGACGACCAAGACGACGAAATCGACGCTTTGTTGCTCGAGCTTGATGAGCTTGAATCGGTGACGTTGGCGCTCCAAGAAGAAGCTACCTCCATGCTGGATGTCCGTAACCTCTTTGATGAGTGTATGCTACTTCATTCGTCGGCTTCCAAGCGCTTGGCGTCTAATTCAGCCGTCGTCAGACACGCGGATTTTGAAGTTGCCATCACCAAGATATTGGACCAATCAGTTGCTAGAATGAGTGATGGTCAAGTCACGAGTGTTGATCGTTTGAAGATGCCCCCAAAGGTCTTGGATGCAAGCCAGGACAAGCCATTGACGCTGGCGCAACGTGCGAAGAAGCACCTCAAGGTCTCAGCCGATGCTGACTCCTACGTGGACTGTCGATTTATCCGTCCGACGTCGAATATGTGCGAGCGATTTTTTTCCTGGGCCAAGTATGCATTGAACGATCGTCGTCGCGCCACAACCCCCCATAACTTTGAACAGCAAATGTTCCTCAAAGTAAATTGTAGTCTTTGGGACGTGACCGATGTAGGCAAGTTAATGACTACATAGAATGGACTTTCACCGGGGAGTTATTCGAATAAGTTATTCTTTCTGTATATCTGGAAAAATAAGTTATCTTCGTCATCCTCCATAAAAGGTAAGTTACCTTTCAACTCACTGTTTGAGATAGGTAAAAGATAGATATTTGAGAACCCCTGGCTGCGATGTTGATGGCTGTGGCGACGGCGTCAGCAGGGTGGACACATGGCCATTCGACGTAGGGCTGTGACTGTCGGTGGCGTTCAGAGGTCCAATTAAGCATCGACAGGGGTTATCGTACATGTGCACAGTTCACTGTGACGCTGCCGTCACATCACGTCGACGTTGCTCCGCCGCGTCGAAATTGCGCGTTGAGTTCAATAAAATGATAATTTTATGTATATTATGTGATATAACTTCATTTTACTATACCCAATATTCATTTAGATTATTATTTTGATATTACTATGAATCCGGATAGCATAAATCGGATGGATAAATCGAGGCGAAAAAGTCCTATTATACTTCGAGATAATGAGGGGTTTACGAAATGTCTACGAAACCCTTATAATCTTATCTTTCGCTTGCAGTGATAAAGGTATTTGTATTTGCCACACACAGTTAACTTTGATTCATCGGCGGTCACAAGAACCATGAAAGGTACGCATGTAAATCAAAGGTTATACTTCTTGATGAGATCATACATGGTTGGGTACGTCATCTCATCTAGTCTACGCTTTCTAACATCGCCGTCCTTGCTTTCCAGTAGAAGCGCTTGGCCAAGCAGCTGGAGACAAGACGCGAAGAGGATGGACCTGCTTGCCACGGGCATGCGATGGACGACGCTCTCAGGTACATCTGAGTACTTCATCAATGCAGCAATGACTCGTTTCAACTTGCTGTAGTTCACGCGATCGCTGCTGCGAGCAAGGTCCCGGGGTCGAAGGTGGCGCAATGGAACGATCCCATCCCCAGGTAAGCCAAGCCACCAGGCGTTCCACAAGTCGAAAATCTTCCCATGTGGTAGGGTGGGCCTCAGTTGTTGGTGCTGGTTCGTGTTGCCCCACCATGGTTCGGGAACAACGTCGTTGCCACTTGTTGGTGGGGGTGTTGGCGTGGTGCCACACCTTAATTGACGGATTTCATCCAAGATGGAGTCCCGGAAGGATGCCATATTAGTGGGGGTCGTTGTTGATGGGCCAAGTGAGCTTGGAGGTGCCTGTGTTGTGCAACAACGTGGTCACTTATTTTTGTTGGTAAATAAGATATTTGCTCGTTGATAAATTTCAATTCGTGCTCCACCGTAGCCAAGCGATGGCCAAGAGCGACGTGGGGTGGGATGCCGGATGATCGTAGGTTTGTTGTTCTGTTTTGCATTCGACCCGTTTCAACGTCGACGGTCAACTTGGGCAGCAAACCAGATGTCCAAATGGGGGCAAAAAATAGTGGATGATTCTTGCTTAACGTCTGCTCCAACCAAATGTGATGACACGATAGGGATGCCACCAAAAAAGGCATAATTTGTCGAAACTGACTGGGATAAAATGATTTGTACCCGGGCAGGGCAGCTTCCCATTGCCCATCGCTGAGCCCAATCGACTTAAAATGTGGCGGTAGACAGGAAAAATCAAGGTCATTAACGTTGTGCCCTAGTGCAATGTCAGATGACGTCCAAAGTATATCATGATTGTTTCATTTAAAGTAAATTATGATTGTTTCATTTAAAGTATAATTATGATTGTTTCACTTAAAGTATAATTATTTAAAGTCACACCTGCTGCTGCACGTCCAACAAATTGGTCGCCCCCTGAACCCGCAAAGATGTACCGACCCTGGACAGTTCCTAGGGTCCACCCGGCTCGGAGCCACACGTTCACGGCTTCTGGTCCTCCAGGGGTATTCGACAGCTCGCTGGCCACGCCTTTTCGGAACGAATGGGTTCCGATGTCCTTAACCAACACGCCGTATGTCGACATTTCCGCTGCGAACAAACCGCATGTTTTGGACAGCCACGCTGAAAATCGTTCGCCCGCATTTTCGCCCAAAACAAGATTGGTTGATTCTCCACGCTGCGCCCCACGCGTAAAAATAAGTACGGCCAAACTAAATACAAGAAATAATTTATATTCACGAATTGAATTCACAAAGATATCTACAATAATTGCGCACCTCAGAATTGGACAAATCGACGGGTTTCCAGGATTTGCATACACGTGGCGAGGGGTGCAACTTTTCCCCTCCTGGTCATTTTTAGTGTATGCATACTGAACCACCAGCGAATCACCTACGCTAAACGTTAAACCTTACAGTCGTGTAGAGTAACCGCTAAATACAGCACCTTCCCATGACAAATGGTCATATCTAATTCCAGCAACAGTTGTAGACCGTGTGATTAAGTTCCAACATAGCAGTAAAAACGGATGGGCCACGGTTGTCAGGCTGTACTCGGCTTCTCCTCCAAGGGCTTTTGTTGCCAAAAAGAAATATCCTACAAATTGCAACCAATCAACTCGACATAACATCTAGTTAATATATTGACCGTCAAAAGTCATTGGTCTTTTTCCTTCACCAATTGCCATGGCCCCGCTGTCCTTCAGTTGAGCAACTTTCGCTTGTAGCAGCATGCAAAGTCTAAGTAATAAATAACAGATTATTTAACATCTAATCTAGTATTAAATAAGGATATAGATACCTGCTAACAGTGCATCCAATTCCTCCGACACGCGGAGATTTGCCTGCTTGTACATGAACTTGATGGCGCTCTTGCATCCATTCACAGCTGAGTAGGACTTGAACTGTTGTGGGTCAAGTTCGGCACCATCGGGGCCCCGTTTAACACATTCGTAGGCCAAGAACCCTTTGCAAATCGCTGGGTCGAGCGGGGGCACGACCTCTCCACCCGACAGAGAACCAGGATGCTCGCGCTGGAGCCACGACTTTAGACGCAGAAGCGACTTCTCGTACTGGTAGCGCGTCTTACTGCCATACCGAAGCAACATAACTTGATCCCCAGTTGTTGGATCGATTGAACGTGTGTCCTCGGTTGTCGGTGCCGCTGGAGCCTTGCGTTTGGCCGATGACATGAGAGAGGTTTTGCAAATCATCCCGCCACTCCCACGCCACGGAAAAATCATGTGTTTGACAAAACCCGCTCATACCTCTCAAATCATATTGAGAACCTTGCCATACATTATGCTGCCACCCTGAAAAAGGCCATTTGTAGTGGCAACCTACCATTATTCTCACAGCCACTCACACCGTATCAGTGGTTGGCAATGTCGACCCCCGTCAAGAACCGCTTCTCCGAGTACGAAGACGTATTGATTCTGCGTGAGGTGAACGCTCGCTTGCCATTCATGGCAAAACGAGGTCTTGTGATGGTGGGCTGGGCAGCTGTGGCGGAGGCCGTTGCTTCACAAGAAGAGTTCTCGCGGCCCGGTTTCGACGCCAAGAGGGCCCAAAACCGCTTCACCTTGCTCCTTGAGGGCCACCGGGTTCGCGACGATGAGTCCATGAGAGCATCAGGCGTCGCCGAAGACTACAATGAGAAGTCACAACTGCTGGACGAGTTGTCTTCCGTTTACGACGACTGGAAGAAGCGTGACAAGTTGCGCCTGGAAGATGTTATGCGTGAGGCGGAGCGAGTCGAGACGATGGGGGCAACAATTCGTGAAGAAGCGATGCAGTCATTGGGCAAACGCAAGAAGATCGACCAAGTCGACGGTGATGCCGGCGGCGGCAACAACGGAGGCACTTTAGCCAAGATGATGAAGATGATGCATGACGACAACAACGCTGAACTGGAGTTTCGTAAGTACCAGTACGAAAAAGACCAAGAAGAGCGTGAAGCTGTGCGATCCCGCGAATATGAAGAGAGACGTATAGAACGAGAGTTACAGGCAGAGCAACTTCGATGTGACCGAGAAACTCAGGCAACTCAATTACGCATGCATCTTGAGATGATGATGAACATGATTACATCGATGAATAAATCTAAGTAATTACACTTGCATAAGAATAATTGTTTGGATTAAACGTCAATTATGTCTAAGGTGTCCAAATATGACTCCAAGCTTGGTGGATCCAACTTGAAGAATTTGCTGATTTGATTTCCTCCAAAGTAGCAACAATGACAATTTGTCAATAGCATGGCCACACACACGACTTTGGCCACTGGGGATAAACGTATCTTCGACAACCCTTTGAACGTAATAAACGCCCAAAGTGTCTTCATAACCTTGAAGTTCCACTCCACTGATTGGCGCACACGACTCATCCACTTGTTGAAGTCCCTTTGAGCGTTGCTCAATC